ATATATCATATAGACTACATTTTGTTAGGAAAAAAGTGGCCTCGATTTGAACGAAAAAATCATATTGGGTGGTTCGCAGGTGCTCTGGTGTGGTTTGTTTCTTCTTTTCTATCGTCCTTATCTCCCTTTCTTCTTTTTATGTTTGTTACTCTCTTGTAGCACATCTAATCTTCTGGCGCTCATATGACCTATTATGTAATTGCGAGCGTCGTAAAACCTCTACTAGAACTTAATCATAATGTCGTCATCATTGCCTTTTTCGCCCTGCGCCAGGGTATAGGCCACGAACAAACACTTTCCAGCTTTCTCGATCCTTGGTTAGCCTCTTGGTGTAATTCCATGTCTTCCCACTTTTTTTGGGTGCTACATATTAGATTAGTTTTAGTAGAGGTTTTACGGCGCTCGCAACTGCATAAGGTCACATGAGCGCCAGATGATTAGAGGTGTTACAAAAGAGTAACAAACATAAAAAAGAAGAAGGGGAGATAAGGACGATAGATGTTTCATAGGAAGGAAGAAGCAAGCCACACCAGAGCACCCGTCAACCACCCACGTGCTACATATTAGAGAAAGATACTACACTGTAGTAGGTCAATTCTAATTTATACAAACGAACAAGCAAAACACTCAAACAAACAAACATACAATACCTTACCCCTAAAAGAGTAGAAAAAATACACAATAACAACAAAAAACAGGAACAAAAACAAACAAACAAACAAAACAAAACAAAACCAGCCGATCGAAGTGGGGAAATCATTGGGAATCAAGCAATTTTGACTTGTGCATACATAATATATTTTTCAGGAAAAATCTACAAAATGCAACTAACCAAGATTTCTTGTAACAAATAAATGAATGCAACTGCTTGTTAAACCTCGTATGACAATTCCAATTCGTCCCGCCGTTTCGCACAGACCTTAACCCTTTCTCTGCCTGCTAATCCACAATCTATCGTCGATTTTGACCTCAGGAGAAAAAGACTGTTTTGTTGAGGGGGGTTTCGATTCATAGAAACATTCCGTGTACGGTACATACATTTTTTATTCTTTTGACGGTGCTGTTGTTGTTGTTGTTGTTGTTGTTGTTGTTGTTGTTGTTGTTGTTGTTGTTG